TCGTGCCGAGAAAGGCGTTTGCAAGACCTGAGTGGGAACTTGTGAAGGTCTCGTGTGGGATCTCTACGCCTGCTCGCTCCAGCTTTCTTGTCTCGGGCTAGCGCCCGGGGCCCCGTGTAGTGAGGAAGAATACCAGAGAGAGAATAGGTTTGTTCCTTTTGTTCCTTTATTTCAGTGAAGGGAAATGCTAAGACGCAGGGTATTGCATCACAAACGCCCGACCCTAACGCACTAGAAGCAAGCCGAGCGTACTGCGGTACAGCTATTAAACTTAACATCCTTCTCTTTCACTGAAATCGGGCGTCCCTTCCAAAACAATAGCTTTGATCCCTGAACCAAGATCTTTGGGAGCAAGGCTGGAAGCAAGAGAAGCATTAGCCTGGCTGCAGCACGTAGGATCCGTTTCTTTGTTTCATAGATCACCTGCGGCAGCTCGATCAGCAGGCTGGCTGGCTATTGTTGAAATATGCAGAAATCAAAATGATTTTAATAGGTTGTCCTCCCTGCAGTGGACGTGGCCTAAGACAATGAAAACAAGGATGAAGTGTCTGGCTGGGAGCCTTGCAGGAACAAAAACAGCCTTGTAAGCACACTCCGAAGTTTGCCAAACTCCAGCGCTGATGGACAGTGCAGGGGTGTTAGTTTCCGAGGCAGGTGTCCGCTGCTGCAACGCTCTCCTGCTGCCCTCGGAAAGCCGAGTTCCCCAGTGCTAACAGCTGAAATGCATCGGGGAGCCCTGTGTGGTGTGCTGGAAGAAGGAGGGCGAAGGTGACTGCTGAACGCAAGGGTTGCAGACCACACAAGGCTTTAGAAATTGGCGTGGACACCTTGAATTGCAACCCAGGACTGCGACGGTAATCTCTCCAACACCCGGAGAACGGGTGCTGGGGATGCTTCTGGGACAAGACAGCATTAATTAGCAGTCAGGTCTCCTGCCTGCAGCTGCTGAGGGATAGGCTGGTCCAAGTGGGTCGGCCACTCTCTTCCACGGAGCTTCTTTGCAATGTCCAGAACAGGCTCTAAATATGATTCCCTACTTTCCATAGCAATGCCAGTGCCTGCAGTCACTCGTAGTTGCTTAAACTGTCCTCCTCCTCCTCCTCATTTGTTTCGTAAGTTTACAACTCTGACATTAGCTGTCTTTAAATACTCAGTGAAAATGCTTTGCCCAAACGCTTTCTCATGGAGTAAAGGCTTTAGGAACACATTCCTCATATAGTTGCCGAACAATTTCCACTGGTTGCTGTTACGGCCACTTACAGTATTTGCCGAGTTCCTCATACTCTGAATGAGGAAGCACCGCATTGTTGCAGCAACAAACACAATGGCCAAATGCAGCTAGTTTTAAAAGTCCCCAGTGTTATGTGTGCAGGATATGCAAAATTTACATGATGGGAAGAGGGGAAGGAAAGACAAGTGCTTGTGTATATTGAGCAATCTGCCATGTTGGGCAATCATATTGTTCATGAGTTACTCTTGGGTTATTCTGTTCATTTTTAAGTGGAAGAAAAGTCCTATAACACAAGTAAGTTTCTTATGAATGACGAATCTGGGAAAAAAATCTGGAAGGAATGACTGCAATTATTTTATTCATTCAGTAAGATGAAGATCATTAAATCCACAGGATTTGAAAGCCATAGGCACAAATACTGTATCAGAGAAAAAAAAATCCCTCATTCCTCTGAGTGTATGTGTGCTTCCTATGAACAGCTAAAATAGCAACAATTTGACCCACCTTGAAGAAGTATGTGCTCGTCTACATGTAAGTGAAATAAAGTAGAGCTGTGATCCACTATTGCTAAGAGATGCTCCGCTGAGAATACACGCAGTTTGCTGTGGGGTGGGTTCGACAAATTTCTGCACAATATCCACAAGATATTACAGATTACAGCCTGGCCTTGTAGAGTCTTACTCAGCCTTTACTCATGCAAGCCGACTGATAAAGACTAGAGACTTACTAGACCCAGAAATCCCAGATCCACCAATATGAGTAAGACTTACTCATAGCAGTACAGACTTGCAGGTCAAGCCATTTAGCATTTCATACTGAAGAGGGGTAGAGCGTATACATCACGACTATGTTACAGCTTTTTTAAAGTCGGAACAGCTCTGCCCAGAAAGCTCTTCTTAGAATGAAACATCGATTCTAATCTATTATACAGATAACGAGAACCATAACAAAGCCGTCTCTCATCTGCATGGGCTTCAGCAAGAGAAGTACTTCCAAACCCCCCAAACAGGGAAGTTGAAGTTACAAGAAAAGTTTCTAAAAAATCCTTTCCTGTTGCAACAAGCCAGGACAAAGAGGGTGAGTGACAGCTGAAAACTTAACCCTCAAGAGTGAGTGAGGGTTTGTTTTCCTTCTCTCAATGAATGGTTTTCTAATTTGAGGTAGTCTAGCTACAGAAGTCTCTTACTGCCTCGCGACAGAGCCTCCTAACTGAAGTGTTAGAAGAGCTGTGTGAAATGGTCAGTCTGAGGAGTTTTCAAGACAAGATCCGCTATCTGCAGAAGAAATGGTTTCAAGGGATAGGAAGGGCTCTGGGAAGGCAGAACATTCATATTTCACACCAGGGTAGGAGGTGTAAGGAAAGAGCCAGCAACAAAGCAGGATGCTTTTTCTTAGACGAATTTCAGCCAGGCCGTATCAGTGAAAGAAGGGGCTTTTTCTCCCCACATTTTCTGTTTTCTGGCATCGTTCTCACCTTTGCCCATCACAGCCGCCCTGTCCCTCAGTCTTGCAGAGATCTGCAGATGCCCTGTGGAAGCAAATTTGAGAGTTGTATTGCAGGCATAGTCCTTGCCAGCTGGGACCAGAGGCTTTAGCCCCTGTCTTACTGTGCGGGAGATGTTATTAAATTGCTTTTTCTGTCTTGGCGGTGAAATGACCTAATTATCAGATTGCATTAGTCTTCATCTCTTAAAGTGGCCAAATCTGCTTTGGTTCTCAAGGATTTTATTGCCAGCTGAAAATAGCTTAATTGTATTGTACTTGCAAAGAAAACATGGTCTGGTAGAATCAAAGCAGTCAGTTTCCACAAGATGAGAAGAAATGCCATAAATAACACGTTGGGCTTTTTTTTTGGTCTCACCATTTCCATGCATGTAAACTGGCATAAGTTAGCCTTTCTTCTCTAACCATTAAGTCAACTGGAAAAAATTCATCAGGAAAAGGTGGTTTCCCCATTCACAGCAAACCCCTGGGGTTTAGACATTAACTGGATCTTTATAGGTCTAATGTTGGAATCTCCAAGGAAAAATGAAGCCACATTCGTAATAGAAGGAATGGGTAAATCCAATGAAAATTCCACAGAGAGGCGGTTGCATGTTTGATAAGACTTGGGAGAGCAAATAAATATATTTTGTGCTTTGCAAGCAAATAGGATATACAGATGTGCAGCCAGTGACACAGTTATATTGGATAATAATGTGTTTGTTCATAGAAGGGGTGAAATATGACATAGGAAATTGAGTTGTTTTATATATCTGAGAATAGTGGAACTCATGCACCATTCACATTTTTTTCTCTCTTTCTTTCCCAGCTACTTTGTGTCCAAAATCTTTGCTTAAGAGTTCAGGCTGTCTTATTTAGTCTTGTTCTAAAGTCAAATCACCAGCTAGTGACTATATTTTGAAAAAAATTAAGTATATACTTTCAGTCTTTCCTACTGCAGATGGTGGGTGTGGGAAGCAAGGTGAAGAAATCTTGAAATAATGAATTGCAAACAGTAATCCATAGCTAACAGTAACTGTATATAACTAGCAATCCAACAGCAACCCAAGAAGTTCTGCCAATGAAAATTTCCAACAAGATTTATTTCCAGCACTATATTCCATGTGGTTCAATTCTCAATAAATTAAGATGCCTAATTTAAAGGATCTTTATTTTCCAGCTAAACTTTCAAGACCCAACAAAATATGATAAATACCTGTTGGTAAAAAGTGAGCTCTCTCAGCTCTCAACGCATGCTTACCTCTGCAGGGTTAAAGGCCTTAAAATGATTAGGAAATGTTAATCTGTTATTTAATGTACACCTGGCACATTCTTTATTTTCTAGAAGCCTTGCTGTAGCAAGACAGTTGTATTACCATTTTGTGATCTATTTTCACAGTTTAGGATTGTGGATAATTTGTCAGAAATGCAATAAACTGAAGGGACATCTAGCATCGTTTGTGACATGGCAATATTCTGTATTTTTCCTTGTCCAGCCCTTAGTCGGCTGTGGCAATTTGTCCTCAAAGGTGGCAGTGGGGCATGTATGTTCGGACTACTGAGAAGGACCTTAGTATAAGTGATAAAACTGACCAAGCAATTACATATTAATAAGGCTAATATTTTCCTATTAATCTCAAAGTTATCTAATGATCTTCCATAGTTCCC